TTCATGTCCCCACTGGTCTGTGACAGGTAAGGAGAAGTCCAAGGGAGAAAATGTCATTATTCTGGTATCTATGAGTCTGAAGGCGAGTAAACAATCCCTATATGACCTTATGGCTCATTCTGTACTTTGCATGCAGACACACACACACACGCTCAAACACAAAAACATGCACAGAGAAAGACGAGCCAGACATGAGTGCAACAAAAGAAAGTTGTCTTTGACACCAGCGACACAACTGCTGCATGTAGGCCTCCAGTTACAGTACATTGTAAGAATAAAAATGTAAAAACTACAACACAAGGCAGCACGTTAGAGAAATGCTTTCCAGGCTGTTTGCTGAGCTACAAATTATGTAGCAAAATACAAATCACCTTGAGCAATTTGCATGACCACAACCGCATCAAACTGTTTATGTTAATATCACCCTCCACTTCAAGGAGAGTTCTAGTTACTAGTTTGTCATTCACAGACCAACTTTCTGCTTCGTTATTCCTCGCCGTATGTGTGTGACCGCTCCCTGAGCTCCTCACAGAGTGTAACTGACCTCTGCGCGTCTTTCTCCACCATCAACCGTGGAGGGACTCCCGAAATATCTAATTGTATTCATTCATTTTCTGTGCCCCGCAAGGAAAGAGAGAGAGAGAGAGGGAGGAAGGGAGAGGAAGTGAGAGAGAGAGAGAAAGAGACAGGGAGAGGCAGAGTGCTGAGAGGCAACGTGGGAGAAAGGCGAGGAGGGATATGGGGATGAAGAAAGGGCAGAGGGGGAGAAAGGAAGGGAAGGGCCGTCTCATCGGTATAACAGCTGAGACATCATTAAAGCCACTGTCTGTCCAATCCCCTCATTAGAATAAATACTCACAAGCAAAGACAGTCAGCGAAATAGCAGAGGGTCAAATCCATAGAGAGAATCGTCCCTGTATTTTAAGTTATTTCAACCTGAAGGAACTCTTAGGATAAAACTTCAAGACACTTCTCTAAACTGTCCCACCAAAATAACTTTTTGATAGGAAAACCGCTGAACGTGAAAATTAAGGTACCAAGAGAAGGACTCTAAGAAAATCTAAACCACAAACAAGGAACTAAAAGAGAAAGTGTGGATGTGTTAAAGAAAAAGATGGAGATAGGTAAACAAAGGAAAAGCAAACAGAGAAGAAGTAGAACTAGTTAGAAAAAGAATACAGTTAGCAAGTTTGCGGTCTTGTGATACACAACAGTGAACTGAAGCCAACAGAACAGCATGGAAATCCCCTCAGCCCCTACCCTAGTCACCAATAAGACAAACACCCAGCACAAACGGCCATGGCACCGCTAACACAAATTACAATTATGACTAAACTAATATAAAATTCCACACCAGTCCACCAATTGCTTGCTGCTCGAAAGCCAAATATAGGAAATTCTGAACTGCAAAAACATTTTTGCCAAAAAAAGGTTCTATTTAAACACAAAAACACACAAATGTCCTTATCTGAAAATCCCCATTCAAAGCCACAAAAAAGTCTATGCTGTAAAAGTTTCTACATCAATGTGTTTTGTCTACTAGTGACTTAAATAGCATACGTGACTCCTTTCTATCCCTTTTACTTGTTTTTGTCTACATCATGACACATTCTTAAGTCATATTGCAATATATACCACGTGTAATGAGACAATTAAATATATTTTCCTTTCTTCCGGTCACTTTTTAAATACTACATGAATTGTAGTTAGACATCTCGCAAAAAAAAAAAAAAGTAAAACAGTTTTTAGTTGGCATTTCCACGTGCAGGTTTTTCAGCCCATTTCTGGTCGTTAAGTAAGTAAGCAGAGTGTTAACATATTGCACATACTTATATGAAACATCCGAAATTTTGTGACAAAACCAAACTCAAACTACAGCTTTAGAGTGATGGATTATCTAGCTAGGGCAATTTTCAAGTCTGTGGAAGCTGCATTTTCCATTAGGTGCAAAAATGAATGGCAATAAATGGCTTTTTCTGGAGGTAGTAAAACAAGCCCTGAATGACTGTGTTCAGACACAAACAAGAAAGAATGTAAAGAGATAGAGTGAAACACTGAAATGATCCTTTAAGTTACCTGCTAACATTATGTATGACAAATTACATAATTAGTTTTAATTTATTGCTATCATGAAGTAACATCGGCTCAAATGTGGCAGCTTGTGCGCATGGAGCTTTCACACAGTAAATTCTTGGAGCAGCCGTACTTTCGGTGTGACTGTGAAGCCTCAGAACAAAGGAAGACGCAGGCAAGTTACGTTACAGTGCCACACCAGCGCTCTACAGTAATGCATGAAGAAAGGGACTCAATATTTATTAACTGAGTCATCAATAAGACAAGTTTGCTATCTCTCCCTCTCCTCCTGTTATGTTACCTTTCTGGCTTCCTGCCTCAGCCCTGCAGGGAGAGTCAAACAAACTCTATTTAGAGTAAGTATAACGGAGTGACTGGTGTTAGCAGCATTACAGCCTCTGTGAAAACCTGTTTCCTTTCCTCCGGCAAGTCAGAGCTTTAGAAACGCATGAGGCTCAGGAAGCTATCTACTTCTCAGATTTTTACTTGGGACTCAAAAGAGAGTAAAAGGCACAGCATGCATGCAGCCAAGTGGATCACAAAGTTCTTGTTTTCTCCCCTCTATCTTTCAGCGTTAGTGTGTCAGATGTGAGATTAACAGTAGATTTCCTTTCCTTTCCTAATTCCCCTTCACCTGAGAAACTGAGAAAACTTGTCAGCACATCTGGAAGATATCAAGTTAACTGAGCGGCCAGTCAAGTCAAAACTTTTTTTGATGGAAAAAAAACAAAAAACGTACTGTCTAATGAAAGTATGTCTATCAACAGCAGAAATCAAGATTCAACTCAAAATTGTGTTTGCCTCTGTTGAAGACAGCGGCCCATAAATAAACAGTCAGAGTAAAGACCTAGACCGCAACAGTCATGGTCTATGGTATATCAGGCCGAGAATCTACGCACCCTGCTAGACAGGCCCAGACTTCAGGAGAGGGCTTATAGTCAGCCCTCCGTTTGTACCCCTGACCACTAATTGTTTCAAGCAATAAATCATGTTTTCCAAAACTTCAAACTGAATATAAATAGTTGTGTAACATATTCAGCATATGCTATTAATGGCTTTGTGCACACTTGGAGGGTAAGCTGAGGATTTTATTCAACAAATACTAAGTGCCGTTGGCAGTTGAGTGAAAGATCTCTGTAAACTCCACCACCAGTGTTTAGACTTAATAAGCCCGGAACAAGCTTGTACAGTCCAACTCCGTAATGGACTTTTAGTGGGAAACGCTGTCTCGACAAACATGTACATTGAACGCTGATGTTGACTCGAGGCTGTCTGAGCAGAGAGGGGTTTTGACTCCAGGTTTCTGGAGAAACTTTTATTTTAACTTCGCTGACTTTGCTCTCATGTGGCCCATTTGAATTCACAGCACATAAAATCCTCATTTCACTTCTAACAGTGTTGAACACACAATTGTTCTTTAAATGAAAAGTGAAACGCACACGTTTTATACCTGAAACACTTGACAATATTTAAATTAACTGTTTGAATGTGTTTATTTTGAGACATTAGGCCAGGACATGACTTGTGCCTCTGAACTTATGAAAGAGCAGCCATTCCTGCTCAGTAATATGCAAAAGAATATCAGAAACAAAATGTGAAGAATATTGTCCATTTTAGATACAGTCAAAGTTTTCAAAAGTTTTGAATAGGAAAGTTGATGGCTTCCATACCGTACAGCCATCACTATACACTTAGTGGAATAAAAACCCTTTCACAATTTTATATAATCAAGTTATAGTGGGTTTTATGTTCCAGAATATATTTGTATTGTTTAGATTTTAATTTTTAGCAAGTAAATCTATTTGTTCTCTAAAAGCTTTAAAAACGTCCAGACCAATCATTGGATTTTTTTACATTATAGTAGTGTGCTTTTTTCAAATGTCAACATTATAATTCTGCACAAGAAAAACTGAATCAAAATGAATAAAAAATATTTTGCTCAACTGATTCAATTACTATTTTAAATATTAATAATTTACAAAAGGGAGCTCTAAAGAGCCATGAACACACTCTGATGTGTGTCTTTGTTACTCAAAAATTAGTTTGTAATTTTATTTGTCTGCCATGGTGCCTTTATAATATTCACAAAGCACTGCTTTTAGGTTTGCTGAGAACACTGTATGCCCATAAATTGAATTATAGTAACTGTACTGAATTTCGTGAAGGAGCTGTTTATTATTGACTGACACTTTACGCTCTCACTGCAGACATTTATTATCGCTAGTTAGTGATGAAGCCACTCAGTAAATTCCCTAAACACAGAACAGACGCACCTACAAAAGCGGTCCTTCTCACTACACAGTTTAAGTCTGTGCGTACGTCAGAAAGTTAAGTTTTCAAGGCAAGGCAATTAACTTATTCTGGAGTGAGTAAATGAATGGTCACGTTTAATGGACTTGGATCTGTGCTGATTATTTGGTATTTAACCTAGTTGAGACTGGTCAGACACTGGTGTGGATGGGTCCAGTGGGGTCGTGCAAATACCCCGCCTGAGTCCGCCGGACAGAGAAACAACACAAGATAATACTCCAGGTTATTTAGCCTTTCACAGCTCTGACCCTGGGGGTTCAAGCTGAATTATTCACGATGAAACGATTAATCTGGGCAATATTGACAGCGGGTAAAGCGATGTAACACCAGGGAACGAATGCTATGTCCAGGCCTTATTACGCACGGTTTTAATCTGGTTCCCTCTGAGGACGCGCTGTTAATGAGCAGCCACGTATTACAAATAAGATACAGTAGGTTTTTACGCTCCTATGCTCGGCTATAGTCTTGTACCTACAGTTACTGGCATAATGCCCTCACTGCGGAAGAAACACCGATGTGGACCAGCAAACCTGTAAGCCCCGCGGTTCATGCAGATGCGAGGAGACGGAACATCGCCGACTCTTAGCGGTAAACCTGCCCGGTGTGGGGCCACTTACTTGGCGTTGGTCCGGTTCCAGAAGACGGCGTAGCGGTCGGCCACCACTTTGGAACTGGGCTCCTGGCTAAATACACACATCAACAGCACCAGGCAGATGAAGATGACCATTTCCATTTGCAGCATCACTACAGCAAAACTTCGGCACGTATTCCTCTTCAGTGTTGGTCAGTCAGTTAGTCGAGTTGTACGGGCGCTTCAACCGGGACAGGTGATGAGGCTCATTCACATGTGGCCGTGTGTTACTGGCGCGGCTTGTGAATGCTGAACAAATACAAATGAGCACAACATAGAAACCTGGAATAGCGAGGATGTCACCATTCAAGGGGACACTTGAGATGACACTTGTTCAGGTTGATGGAAATGGAAAGTTACAAAACCAACGCGTCACTGTTTTCTCTCTGATGCAGGTCGAGGGTCCCGATGAATCATGGGCTTTATTTTATGCGGGATGTCAGCTCTGACAAATGCGTGGTGGGGCTGACAAAATATTTCTCCCACCAATGCACACACACAGTGAGAGCAACGTACGCAAATGCGCAGCACAACAGGCAGTGTCTTCAGTGGTGTGATAATGTTCCACTTATGCAGGGAGCTACTGGATGTAGCCGGTGTCGAGGCAAAAATAACAACTGCTGAACTCTTCTTCTTACTCCAAACCCAAAGCGCGGGGGATTAGTCAGTCCAAGAGGTGATGGAGAAAAGAGAGAGAGAGGCTCAATGTGTCCAATGACGGCGTGTGGCGCACGTCAGATGTCCATGTTCTCCAGGCAACTTTTTAAAGCCATACAGTCAGTCAGCGGCAGATGGATGGTAATGCTAGACTCGGTGTTTCGTGTCCAGCATAAAAAAGACTGTTATCCTTTCAGGGCGATGTACCGGAGGTGTCACGGCCGAGGTGGGGAGGAGTCCTTCTCGGTGTCGGAGAGAGGACGGACAGCGTTGCGTTTTCTCATGCGCTTCTCTCTGTGGAGACGCTTGTTTATGTCCGCATCCCAAAGTGTCCTCTTCATATATAAGCCATCGCGCGACGTGCAGCAATGAAAAAAATCGCGCACTCTTCCATGTGCGTGCTGTGTAGTCTTCCTCTTTTTCGTGTGCTTGGGCTAAAAACGCCGGGACACGCAGGAAGGTGAGAGCAAAGGCAGGCAGCTCCAGACGCCGACTGAGAGAGTGGGTTTGGTTACGGCGGAGCGGGGGATAGTCCCATTGGTTTGAAATTATTTGAATGGGCGTCACTCGAACAAAGCCAAGCCCCTCCCCCCCTAAAACCGAACTAATTCAATTACCGAGCGGTAGAGCTGGAAGGGGACGGGGGAAAGAGGTGCACAGGACAGGGACCGCTCTTACTTACGCTGTCAAGTGCGCACGGTGCTATTTAATTACATGCAAACGGACACGGCGGAGCAAAGACCATGGACTCCAGTTACTCTCTCAGTTCAAATGTACTTTTTTTGTAATAACAGGGAAGTCTAATATTGACTGGACATTAACATAGCCTAATTTAAAAAAAAATCTAAATTATAGTTCCAAAGATAGACTAATAAATACTGTAGGCTAATAAAGAAATAAGGAACATGTTAAAATTAGACTGTTCCACCGATTCACAAACCTCTTTGTGATGGTATAAAGCTGAGAGATGATGGCCATGCGGGACTCTGGGTAGATGTGATGGGGCAGCCTGTTGCGGGGAGCAGACCGAAAGGGTTCAAGGCGCCGCTCCAGCGCCCAGACGCCCCGCAGTGGCGAGCAGCCGGGATAGCTGAGCGGCTGAGCCGGGGACAAATCCAAGTTAGAGTGCGCCAGTGTAAACCTGTCTGTCGTCGCCTTAAATCAGACAAGTGCTCACAAGGAGGATTTATGAAACTTTAGAAAATGAGCCGCAGGCCTAAATTCAGGTGGGAAATCCCTAACGAAAATAAATGTAGCATGAATTCATGCCGATACAATGTACAGAAAATCTGGGGTTAATTTATAGTGACCGGTGGCCTTATGGCGTGTTTAAAAATGATAAGTCTGTTAGGTGGAATAATCCGTGCACATTTGTTTTTTTTAGGTAGCCTATTTGTGTGCGTGAGTTTGAAAAGTGAGGTATAGCTATGGCAAATATGTTTTTCATGAAGTTAGGTATTTAAAAGTTCCTCTTCTGCACATATGTCATGTAGAACAACCACACAGTCAAAGTAGAAGTAGAAAAATGTGTAGCTGCAGTAGCAAATTGCAAGAGCATGCAAGCACAAAGGAGTGGGAGTTGAAATATTAAACCAGTCAAAATATAGGCATAGAAACCTAAAAGCTGATGATTCCAAAGAGGTAAGTGAAGTTTTTCTTGTCAGAAATTAACTATCACATAAAAGGTGAAATATAAATAGTAAATTAAATGTCAAATGTTACATCAATGTTTTTAACCTCATAAAATCAAGAACATCAAATGCATTTTGATGCAAATGCCTACTGTGTGTGTGTGTATGTGTGTGTGTGTGTGTGTGTGCACAACAGGTGCTGCTGTTTGCCATCAAGGATACAGGAGGAGAGAGAAAAAAGGAGAGAGAAGACAGAAGGAGGGAGGGAGGGGTGAGAGGGCAGCTAATATTTTAAGATAATCCTCTTGACCTCTTCCCGTGGACTATTGTAAACACAGGACTCAGAAGGGCACTCACGTTGCAACCACACACACACACACCACTACCATGGCACAATCGCCTGCTATCACGTATACACAAATTTTCTCAAGCATTTTTTTGCGACGCGAGCGCGCACACACACACACACACACAAACTGAGGACACTCTCTACTAACATGGGAGAAGGGGTGGGGAGGTCAGCTTGGAGGTCAGGCAACATGGCTGTTTTCACACCCACTTTACAGCCATGACTGCATTCCTCTCCTGCTGTGTCCCGTTCCCCCTCTCTCTTTCTCTCTCTCACACACACACACACACACACACACACACTAAAACACTCTTGATAAAAAGCATATATGACTGAGTAGTGCGCACCGCATGTACCTCCAGCTGCTTTCATTTTCTCTGGCATAGAAGCAGAGCTTTCCCTCCCCATCCGCTTCTTAACCTGCTGTCACTATCATAGTGGGCTGCGCTGATTACTTCTCATGCAGGCCTATTTTCTCCCTCACCGTCATTCACATGTTCCAGCAGAGTGGTGCAAAGATGGCTTGAACTCTATTTTCAAAAGGCTGGATTTGTTTTTCCATTTGATTGATTAGTGAGTAGGAAAACAATACTAACATGGACTGTCAGTGATCAGGTGATTTCAGCTTTTTTTAAAGGAAAAAAACGAAAGAGGACTCTTTCATGCCCACGCATTTACTTCTCTTTCTCTGTCTCTTACATCTTCTCCGGCTCCATTTGTTATTCTCCCTGATAAATTGTATAGATTCACATCTTGTGCACACAAATTTTACAGACCCTCGTGTTTCCCTCTAAAAACTTACTTAACTTTGAGGTTTTATTGTCCAATTCAATTTTGGTCCTGATTGTAGTAATGTTTTTTTGATACAGGATAACTGGTTTCATCGATAGCTTCAATTTGATATATAGAAGTCATTCTGGCCAAAATGACAAGTGTCTGGCTTCAAGCCCGAGTTTTCCTGCTCTCACGCACACTAATCTGTACGCTCACACAGCCAGGGTCACAGCAGGGTGAGATGGGAAGGCTGACTGGCTGGCTGACTGACTGGCTGGCTGGCTGGGTGGCTCATAACTTTTTTTAAATGTCATTGTTCTTTTGCCAACAGGACAATTAGAGACCGCATCATAACACAGACTCATTAAAAAGATGTGAGAATGTGACTCAGTATGTCTGGTGTCAACCTGACAGGTCAGGCATGCCAACAGGCAATTACGGTCATGAAAAGTGCAAAAGAATCGTTTGAATGAATTCTCTTGAAAATATCTGTCAGTTAGAGAGGTGTGTGACAGTGGTAAAAAATTAAAAAAACAACTATGTCAAACGGTTTGGCAAAGCATTAATTGCAACTGTACAATCTAATCACCTTTTCTGAATTGAGATCTATTGTATCCATTAGAAGTGAATTTCATGAATCAGTCAGTAAGATGCCCTTACATCAAAAGGGATATAAAACTAAACCACTGAGTGGATGCAGACAGAGTGGCACCTTATAGGTATAATGGCTTGCTTTTAATACCATAAACCATAAAAAGGAAACATTAAATCTGCTCTCAAGATACCTTTAAAGTCATCCTCCCTCATTATCAAATTTCTATAAAGTATCCCTACAGTTTTACAGTACATTACCACCATATGCAGTGCATGGTATAGCATTTCCCTAATGTTATGTCTGTTTACTGAGATGCAGAGCAGCACTGGGATATAGCAGATTGAGCAGTGTACTGGAGATCTATGTAATGATGTCTCTTCAGACAGTGTAGCACCAAATCTCATTGATATACATCTCACACATCCATAAATATGATGCTCTCTCACAAGACCAGGCAATGGGATTGTTGTCAGTTAGAATTACTGAGAGCACTGTGCATGTTTTGTGCCCTGTAACCCTTTTCACACTATCGTGTGCTTCAGACTGCAAACACAGATTAGCCTGGGTTTACATATGAGGAGAAAATGGGTTTCCACCTCTTCAGAGCACAGATGTGACATTTGCATGGCCATTTCAAAGGACAATAATCATATTTTTCTTTTATGCAAGAGGAAATTGTTTCCACAAAGAGTTAAAACTAAGCACTTTGCATCTGTGTATATTCTAACTAAGAAATGTGTTAAATGCCACGTGAAATCACACATTCATCTGTCAGGATCAAAAAGCAAGTGTAGCATTCAAAACCTTAATGTCTATATCCTGTATATTCATAAACTTGACACAAAGCTTTCTCATTACATCTGAGCTCATTGAGAACATTACCTCGCTTCTCTTTCTCGCTGCCTCACTCTCTTAATTCTCCACCGCCTCCCTCTTTAGGATGCATATTAGATTAAAGATTTTATTGTCACACTCAATGCACTTAGAGCGTTGGCAAACTAAATCACAGGGAGACAGCATGTCATAGAAGAGACACCTTGGGTTGACTAAGTCATGACGAGCTAGCACAAATCGATGAGAGGGACTAATCGGATGTATCTGCTGG